TGTGTGTGTGTGTGTGTGTGTGTGTGTGTGTGTGTGTGTGTGTGTGTTTCGAGACAGGGTTTCTTTGTGTAGTCCTGGCTGTCCTGCTGTCCTGGAACTCACTCTGTAGACCAGGCTGGCCTCGAACTCAGAAATCCGCCTGCCTCAGCCTCCCAAGTGCTGGGATTAGAGGCGTGCACCACTACCGCCCGGCACCACTTTTTTTTTTTTTTTAACGGTATGAAAGAAAAACACTACCTTATAAAATTTACACACCTGAAGTCATATAAAGTTGATCTACCAATAGAGGGATTTTATAGACCATCACTTAAAAATCATTGTTGAATTTCAGAACTGGCAAACACTGCCTGGCTGTTCTTACAGATAAAACCATTTAACATGTTCTTTATATATGAAAGGCATATTGTACTGTATTTTGAAGACTAGCTAAAATCTATGTGAATCCTAACACTGTTGTTACAGTGGTGTGCTTAGGAGATAAAATATGTTTTATGTGTAACGCATAGACCCATCAACCTCAGAAAAGCTTCATGATTTGGTTTCGCATATGGAAGACCCCCCACCCTACCCAGTCTGTGAGCGTTCTGTTCATATTTCAGATCTGTATTACGTTCTTGCATTTAGGAAGCCATTTCCTGCCTCTGTAGTCTAAGTTAGGGCTTCCCTGTGTTTCTCTGGCATCCGCTACCCATCACACTCCACACTCAGTTGTGATTCTTTCCAGTCAGACCTTTCCTGCTCCATGATCAGCTCTGCATGTTCCATGGGTCTCATCTTGTTACGGGATCCCTACTTGTTAGGAAAGTGTAGGTATTGTGTATCAAATGAATACAACTTTGAATTATGTCAGATTTTGAACTGGTGTGGTACAAACTGATAAGATCTGCATTTGTGTATGACTGAATCTTTTTAGTTTAAATCTTACTAGGTTTTTGTTTTTGTCTTGATTCTAGGGCAGAAATAATATGTTTCATACATTGTTGATGTTCCTTTACATCATAAAGACCAAAGAGTCAGGAATGCTTGGGTAGGTACTTATGATTTTAAAGTTAAATACTCAATGTGGCTACTTCCTATTAACTTTAACTTAGTCCTCCTGTGTTAAGATTCTGCAAAGGCAGCACACACACCACAAGATTTGTAGACAGATTCTAGATAGGTTCTAGTTCATCAGGGCCTCAGAACCACCATTTCCCTGTTGGTTAAGTCAGTTAGATGACATCAGACTGACTTGTGTCCCCTGGAGTTTCACTTTAGACGCAGAACATTCCACAAAGTCATAATAAAGTCATAATATTTCCTTAGGACCTAGTCTGTACGCTTTCCAAAATAGTACTAATTGAGAAGAAAAATAGTCTCTTGAAGTCGTTTATGAATTCAGTAATGAAACTCACATTATTTACAAATTTAGATTTATGGTATTGTCATATTGATGATTCAGTGCTTTAATATTTCAAATACTGTTTGAAGTAAGTGGACCACTCCTGAGGCTGAGAAAATCTGCTAATGTGTATCTGGGAGTCTGAAGACTTAGCTTCTGGGGTCCAGCTGTCATAACAAGAACCTAAAGCGGGTGAAGGGTCAAGGGAAGTACCCTGTGCAGAGGACCTGTGTGCCTGGCCCACTCTGCTGGGCAAGCCTCTGTGAAAACGATTGTGTTTACACGTGCTGCTGTTCATAATTTGGAGGAGAGATGTGTTCCAGAATGAGCTGCATCCAGCCGGGGCACACGTGCCACGTGACGTGTCTGAACTGAGTATCAGATTCCACAAAGAGAAGTAAACTTACCTGCTTCCATGTGGTGTACACTGTTTACACACTGAAAACTGCTTTGGGTGTCTACTGGAAATATGAAGGTGGTGTGTGTATGCAAGGCATTATTCTGTATCTTTTGTGGAAGGCACTGTCTGAGTCAAAACAAATTCTATTCCTCAGTTTCTTTATTACATAGAAAATATGAAAGCAGACAATTGTAAATAGAACATGTATCCCCTTCTGATTTTTTATGTTTTCTGCTCTTGGTTGTTTTGTTTAAATTATTTATGTATATGAATACGTATGTATATGAGTACACTGTAGCTGTCTTCAGACACACCGAAAGAGGGCATCAGATCCCATCACAGATGGTTGTGAGCCACCATGTGGTTGCTGGGAATTGGAACTCAAGACCTCTGGAAGAGCAGTCAGTGCTCTTAACCACTAAACCATCTCTCCACTCCTGGTCTTTTGGGGTTTTTGATCTTGTTTTTTTCTCAGACAAGGTTTCTCTGTGTAGCCCTTGCTGTCCTGGACTCACTGTGTAGACCAGGCTGGCCTTGAACTCGTAGATATCCATCTGTCCTTGCCTCCCAGGTGCTGAGATTAAAAGTGTTTGCCACCATGCCCAGCCTCATATTTTTTAATATATAAGAAAGATTTTAAATGGGAATATCATTTTGTAAAGTATATAAACTAAGATTTCTCATTATTTTTCAGTTACAAAAATAATGCATGCTCAATATAGAAATATTTAAATGGCTTAACAGTGCACACTAGAAATTGAGGATACTTTTTTTTTTTTTTTTTTTTTTTTTGGTGTTTCAGGACAGGGTTTCTCTGTGTAGCCCTGGCTGTCCTGGAACTCACTTTGTAGACCAAGCTGGCCTCGAACTCAGAAATCCGCCTGCCTCTGCCTCCCAAGTGCTGGGATTAAAGGCGTGCGCCACCACCGCCCGGCTGAGGATACCTTTCTACTCAGCCTCTCCATTCACCTCCAACAAGGTACAATTGTCAGATTTTCAATATCCAGACTGCTTTGAAGAATGAGTTTGTATCTTTCACATTGTTTTAAAAATGAGTTACACCCAAACTTACTGCTCTTTGAGCTGACTTTTTAATTTTATTGTGTGTCTTAGGCATTTGTCAGTATTAGTAAGAATGGTTTTTTTGTTTTGTTTTGTTTTGTTTTGTTTTTTCTAAAATTTCTAGTAAGGTTTCATTATAATTCCATATATATGTATATAGAATGGAATATGAAATTTATAATAAGTGTTATTGTCAATATGCAAACAAGCAAATAGAATCTTTAAATATGCTTTTAAAGCAGATAGTTAAGGCCAGATGTGGTGGCCCCCATAGACTCATATGTTTGAATACTTGGTTACCAATTGGTGGAAGTGTTTGGGAAGAATAAGGGAACTCGTTGGAGGCAGTGTGTTGCTGAGGGCTAATTTTGAGGCTGACAGCTTGCAGCCATGCTCATAAACTCTTTGACCTTTGAAATGCTTTCTTTTATAAGCTGCCCTAGTCATGGTATCTTCATCTTCATCATCATCATTATTTCAAGACAGGATTTCTCAGAGTAGCTTTGACTGTCCTGGAACTTATTCTGTAGACCAGGGTGACCTCAAACAGAGATTCACTTGCCTCTGCCTCCTGGGTGCTGGGATTAAAGGCCTGTGCCACCACACCAACATTAGTAATGCTATCTTACAACAGCGATAGAAAAGTAGGATGCCGAGAAATCCCTAATAATCAATAGATTTCTATTCAAGTCCAGGCCTAACATCTCTGTATCCTCTATTTAAAAAAAAATCAATAGGTGCTGGGCAGTGGTGACACATGTTTTTTTAATCCCAGCACTTAGGAGGCAGGGGAAGGTGGATCTCTGTGAGTTGGAGGTCAACCTGGTCTACAGAGAAAGTTCCAGGACAACCAGGGCCACACAAAGAAAACTTGTCTTGAAAAACAAAATTAATTGGCTGTGTAATATTTACTAAAAAAGTTTGTTAGCTCTCTCTACTTGATGTAGCACTTTAAGTCTACTGAAAAATTAATTTTTCACCCCATAAACCAATTTATTCTACACATGGCTTTTAAGCACAGTTACAGAAGTAGTCACCATTACTTGAACTCACCTGCTGAGCTGTGTGACAGGCTGCATTGCTGAGTCACCTCACCAATTAAATGTCCCTCCTATTGTTAATTTTATTACAATCAGACTTTAGATACTTTGGCAAGCAATTCTACTAAAACTGTTTTCCTTTATTTGTAGGAGAGTTAACCTTGGACTATCTGGTGTGAATATTTTATGGATCTTTGGAGAGTAGTCCATCATTTAATTCCAAACATTTGGACTTTGATTTTAATTGGCCTAGAAGAAGTTGAAGCTAAGCCTCTCCGAGTAAGCACCTCTTCTGGAATAAGATGCATGTTTTGCAGACTTGTTAGATTTAACAGGAAACAAGCTGTGGGAAGCTTCTTACGAACATAACAAAGCCTGCATCTTCTATTCCACGAAACATTTATTACGTTGGATGACTCTAAAACTGTCGTCCTGGGCTGTGAACTAGTACAGTTTCCTTCACTTGGTGAGGACAAGAGCGCCTCTCCATTTTAACCCCAGTGAGAATCTGCACCTCATTCTTTACCATCAGAGACTGGTTTTCATTGTTGGATAGTAGTGTAAGTACTCAAATGAACCTTGCTAGTTTTCTTTGTTGTATCTTTATATTTCCCCGGTGTTCTACAAGTCAGCCTAAAGCTGAAATGAAATTAATTTCAAAGTGATGTAGTAATTAATCCTGCCGAGCCGTCTCCCCAGCCCCCTATTGGTTTTTTAATATTAAAAGAGATTTGATAATATTGGCATCTTGAAAGGTCAATGCTTGCATTAAAATTAGCTGATAAAATTAAACTTTTGGGTTTTAGTTAAATGTCTAAGGGCATCAAGAAAATGGTTCACTGCCTTTATTAGCTGTGTGTGTGTGTGTGCATGTGTGAGCGCACTAGCACCTATATATCATCTGCAGGCATTTTATCACTCCCTTCTTTAAGATCCCAATGATACCCTTCCTGTTTCTAGTTTATAGGTGGAGTAGAGTATCAGCTCTCCATCTTTTCTTCCTACGTGGATAGAAAGTAATTAGTAGTCACATCTTTTTGGTGGAGGGTGTTTTTGAGACGGGGTTTCTCTGTGTAGTCCTGGCTGTCCTAGAACTCACTCTGTAGACCAGGCTAGCCTCAAACCCACAGAGCTTTGCCTGCCTCTGCCTCCTGAGTGCTGGGATTAAAGGTGTGCACCACCGATGCCAGGCTAGTAGACACATTTTTTATGGACGTGTCTTTAGAAAGAGTATTTCCATCACCTGTATGTGAACAGATGGTAGGTGCCTCCCATTTTGTATGGTTTGATTTTTTTTTTTCTTCAAAAGGTCAGAAGGTTGACCTTAAGTTTAAAAGCTAATGTCCAAAAGAAAGGAACTGTCACTTAACTGTTCTTAATAAGTGTTAACTTGTTACACTTAAAAGAAAATATCACTTAAACATGCTAAACATAAGGCCACGTTATAATTTAAACCTGTGATTTTGAGAGATACTCAAGGTGCCATGGAATCAAATGTTGTGATATTTAAGTGTACAACTACACAGACTGTACTAAAAGCACCACTCTTAACAGCACATAAGACACCACCAACCTTGTCTTTTATTTGTAACTATGAAAGAATACAATATAGTAGTAAATATATGTAAAAACACTTGACTATGTAAAGAGAAAAGTTGTTTTGCTTGCATACGTAGTGTGTTGCTATGGAGTTCCTATAACAACTTCTTTACACGTATTTGAACTAGCTGTGCCTACTGTTATCTTTTATTTAAACAGAATTGGCAAAGACATGGTGGGATATTGCCAGGAACGGCAGCTGCTCACGAGGCTGAAGTGGGAGGATCAGTAGGTCAGGGCCAAACTAAGGTACATAGTGATAACCTTTATAAAGATAAACCAATAATGGAATAATTATAATTCTGCATTGATGAAATCATTTGAATTTCTTCTACAGAAAGTGTGCTGCAAATATAGCAGCAAATATGTTCTGTTTGCTTGTTTTTATTACTAGGAATTGAGCCCAGGGTATAGCTTACAGTGTACCACTGAGCTACATCCCCAACCTCCAATAGAGCAGTTTCTTGTATTAAAGTGAGTCAATATCTACTAATACCACAAATCCTCCTAGGATATGTGTCACGTGTTCCTTTTCTTTGCTTTAC